GCTACTCCAGTTCACCGGTCAATCTTTTCCTCTAATTTTCCATCACTGGTGAATACAATTCCGAGGTACTCGAACTTCTCCACCTGCTCCACTGCCTCTCCGTTAATCTGAAGAGTGCTACGGGCAGGAGAACGAGAAAGCACTAGGCTTTTCGTTTTAAATGCGTTTACACGGATAAGTTTGCATCATATTATTTGTTGTTAGCTCAGATGCATTGGATGCGGATTGGCTTACTGAAGGACACGACTAATTTTTGCCGTTGATGCCGCGAAATTGCGCAAAATTCGTAATATGGAGGTCTTGCATCATGGTACTATTCAATGTGACTGAAAATCATGTACCTTTCGATACAACTGTACATTTTACTGTAGATATTCGTTTTAAACGTTGGGCTCGAACATCTTACGGTTAACGTATCTCGTAGTGACTTCCGTTCTCCTAATTGGTTAAATAGGCATGTGACGTTGTAGCTGATGAAAATAATTTACTGCCAAACAGTTTTAAGTGATTAGAATTATTTTAGAATCCGGATTTACGGCATAGTCATGTCGTCATGGTCTAATCCAAGCGTCAGTCTGCGCAGCAGACAAATTCGTAATAAATTTTTTTTGCATTATTTCATGTGTTTGCCTAGTCTGTATTTAGTTGCCCTTCGACAAATGCTCAATTTTAATCAGCCTCTTCCCGATACGGTTGGTGTGGAGCCTACATGGAAGGTTTTGGTATTCGACAATTTTGGGCAAGATATTTTGTCACCGTTGTTCACCGTCAAAGAGTTACGAGAGCGGGGCGTTACGCTCCACCTGTACGCAGTGTCGTTCTTTTCTTGTTGAATTGTTGAATTTTGTTTTCTTAGGCATCTGAATGGTCATCGAGAAATACTGTCTGATGTGTCGTGCATTTATTTTATCGAGGCAAACGAAGAGAACATCAGGGCAGTTTGTCAGGTAGTGTGCAAAGTAGAAGTTTTTGCTGCTTTACGATGTGACGTTCTCGTTGAATACACTCATCGAGTCATTGTATTATACATCGCAGTTTCTTTGCCAGTACAGATTGAGCAGCATTTCGGTCGTTCCGAAATTCTTGCCATAAGAATTTGTGTTATTCTAAGTTTCAACAAACGTCGTCTTTTCGAAAGGATGATAACATGATGTCCTAGTTGGGTTGCGTCTATTTGCTTTGGTTTTGGCATAAGACACGTTTTTTCTCTCGATATGTCCGTATTTTTTCTAACCGACGTCCTCTGAGGCTGCGTATTTTGGCCTGATTCGAGAATTATCACAATCCCTATTGACGTTAATCGGCCAGATATGAAAGATTCCTGATTTAGGGATTTAGCTTAAAAAGCGTAGATGGTGCTGGCAAAATCTGGTGTAACAGCGGAGATTCAGTTGAAGCTAGTGGAAATGAATCGAAAATCTTTAACACAAGTTAAGTGTTTTCAGTGTGTCGCTGATTCTTTTTGTTACTGAGCAACTATTATATCTTAGTTAACAGTGACGGTCTTCTCAAAATCTTTTCCGATTCAACCCAGCTGAATGAATAAAAATGGATGTCTTCCCTCATCTTAATGGAAATTTATAGTAATATTACGGGACATGAGCAATGCATAACGTTTCGTAATGAAGTGAACAATACTTGCAACATCATTCCAAACTCTGTCGAATTTTCCGTCGTTGTAAATCAAAATTTATAGGTGGATACTATAGCTTTGATTTTATGCATTGATTTTGAATTCTGTTCTTGTATAGAAAGTCATACCATTTATGGATGATTTTCCGTCGATAATTGTGTCCACAAGATGAGATTAGAAATTTCCAAGTTTTGCTCGTAAACCGAAATAATCGAGTATCTCTTTTATTCCGGTTTTTGTACCAAATATTGCAACACACAAATGTATGCATTTCCGTGGTTTATGTAGCGCTAGTCAGCTAATCTACGGTGGAGACAGTGACGTAATATAAACTTATATTTCTTTGTAGCTAGAAATGCTGATTCGATTCTAAACGCGACTTAAATGCTCTATATTAATTACTAGTGATCTTTATGAGGAAAGAAAATAATATGCAATCAACCGAGAACTGGATAAATCGATGCTTTGCGAGTATCTGGGTAAGGATGTGTTTTCGTGTGATCATGCCAGAGCTTTCGCGATTTATGTTCACTTTAAATAATGTAGACTTTACTTTTTCGCTGCTTTCTTCAGTATAAAATTTCTGTTTTCTTATTCCGTTGCATCGAAAACGACGTTCATGCCGTACAAACATCCTACCTAAATCGAATGAATGCGTACTCATTTCACCAGTTTTCCCATCCAGTTGAGTGTCCTCCTGGCGGACGACTACCATTAGACATTGCCTCGAAAAGGGCTGTCATTTTTTTGATGGCAACGGCTCTACCCTCGTAACTGCCTTGTTTGCAGCAAATCGGTCACTAGTTGGATATT